CGTGCAGAAGGCTTCAACAACGAGTCGTTTGTTATCTACATGTTCATCTGCCACTTCATGATTCCACTGACTATTGTGTTTTTCTGCTACGGCCGCCTGCTCTGTGCTGTCAAGGAGGCTGCTGCTGCCCAGCAGGAGTCTGAAACCACCCAGAGGGCTGAAAGGGAAGTCACCCGCATGGTTATTATGATGGTTATTTCCTTCCTGGTATGTTGGCTGCCCTATGCCGGAGTGGCCTGGTATATCTTCACACATCAGGGATCTGAATTTGGACCAGTCTTCATGACCCTCCCAGCCTTCTTTGCCAAGGGCGCTGCCATCTACAACCCTATTATTTACATCTGCATGAACAAGCAGTTCCGCCACTGCATGATCACCACCTTGTGCTGCGGGAAAAATCCCTTTGAAGAAGAGGAGGGAGCATCTACTACTGCCTCCAAGACCGAGGCTTCCTCTGTGTCCTCCAGCTCTGTGTCTCCTGCATAAAAGGGGCGTCAAGCAACGGCTCCGTGATCCGCCATCCAAGACGAAGACTTCTGCTCCCCCAGGGAAACTACTGAAGGCTAATGTCTACAGAAATAATTTCCTTTTTGTATTTTTACAAACGAATTGATTCAACCTAAAGACAGTTGCAGTAAAGGTCAGCCCATTACAGAGTTGTTCCTGTATGTACAGAATATCCAACTTAACAATCGGTGAGATTTTTTTTTTCCTGAGAGGAAAAGGAAAAATGCTAATCTTTCACAGTTGGATCCTATATGATACTGGCTTATTTTTGAATGTAGAGGCATGTAATCAAGGCAACGTAAAATAAAACGCACTTTGCAAATGACGCATCCTGTTTATGTTTTACTTACAGTTTGGGTGGCAAAGTTCATATGATTGTAGTATATTTAATCAAATAAATAAATGTGAATGACCTATTCAGAATGCATTTATGTCTTGAGTCGGTTTATACTTTAGAGCTGTTATTGCAGTTATTACTGCTCATCTACTGTTAAACTTGATGAAACAGTACACAAAAACTTAGTACTTAGTGTTTACAAGTGGCCTCTATAATCTCATTTTAGTCACAGGTCACCTTGGGCTTAGAACTTGGCCTAATAAAGAGATTACAACATTATAAGATCTTATTATCGGTGAGTATGCATGACACCAGACACAACTTTATCTGATAATAGATATTAATCACATTATGTAAAGGTTGACAAAGATTTATTAGATGACCAAATGAGTCTAACCAAGTGACACCTTCATGCAAATTCAATGGAAACATTACAGGTAGTGTGAAAGGAAGAATCAATCAAGACTCTATTACACGTAAACCTAATTAGTATTAATAAGGAGTATTGATATTTAATGGTTTATAAAACTCTCTAATGTTTTAATAGCATAATAGTATATTACATAAACAATAGTATTATACACACACACACACACAGTGTGGTGCTTGTGCAGTGGAACTGCATGAGCATAATATGAGCACAGGTCTTTTTGCATCACAGATACGTTACTGAACAAAATGAATTGTGATGCTTGTGCTCTTGGTAACTTGTAGTTGGAGTCCAGAGCAAATTTCCTTCCTCTTTGGGGAGAATGAAACATAAAATAAAGTAATATTAGTCATTATTATTATTAATAATAATAATAATAAAACTGAATTTACATTTTTAAAGCCAAATTTGAGCTGGCACACTGGACTTCTCTAAGAAATCAGAAATTACTCAAGCATTCAATTACCAACATTCAATCACTAAAAATATTTTTTCTGTTCAGGACTGCAAGTAAATAACTTTTTAAAAACAAACAAACAAATTCATTGATAACAGCAATAATGATATTTTAGTATTAAAAATAAAATTTTGTTTTTTACAGAAATACTTAAAATATTATTTTGGTTATTTACTGGTACTGTTAATTTAGGGTAACTAAACCGTACACTACCTTGTGGTGTAATACATTTGTTAAACTGGTACACTCATTCCTATATGGCAATGAGTAATTATCCGTTTTTACAGTTCTAAATTGTCCAAATGTATTAAAACAGCATCCATAACAGCATGTTAACTCCTTGTATCCATGCTGGCATGTTATGTTTTTGTTTTGTTTTTTTTCCAAGTTACCCATTTGAGTTACAAATTAAAACGAAGACATGAAACCTATGACTGTGGATCTGTTGGACAACTACTTGCCTTTTTCCTGCTTTTCTGCACAGTGTTCAGCATTTACATAAGTAGACAACCTTCAGACACTGACAATCTGTGTAAACTTCAGTTTTTTACCCCTCAGCCATAAAAGGCTCATGTGGTGTTGTTGTCACCCTCCCAGGCAGACAGGCAGACAATGTGGACACCCGAGTTTGTTAATGCGATAACTCGAGAACGAAGTGACGTTTGAGATTCAGATTGATACCATCAGTGCCGCTTCTACATTTGAATCACAGTGATCTTGATCTTAACGCCGGAGGTTAGGTTTTCTGAAAGTCTTGTGAATGGGATAAGTTGAGAAGGAAATCACCTATACTTTTCAAATTTATACTATAGGTGTTTGTACTAGGAGGCTGATGGGTACCACTGGAGGCACCCAGTGGTACCCATCAGCCTCCTAGTACAAACACCTATAGTATAAATGAGGCAATATAACTAACGGCCCACATCGATGACTACTATCTTACATGTTTTTTTTTTGTGTGTGTGGGAGTCAGTAGACACATTCTCCTCCTCTGAAGAAGGTATTTTTTATTTTTTTTAGAGATGTGTGTGATCAACAGATAAGCAGTTTTTAAAACACTCCGACCAACCCATTTGGCACGTTACCTTTATTTCCCATTCTGACGTGCAGTTTGAACTTCAGCAGGTTGTTATGTGTGCATTCCTAAACCCATTGAGTTGCTCTCGTGTGTTCACATAAGCGAGCAGTTGTGCAGCTGCACCTGAAGCATCTGCGCATCTGTAACCGGAAGGTTGCCTGTTCGATTCCCGGGCTCTCTGTCCTGGTCGTTGTGTCCTTGAGCAAGACACTTTACCCTACCGCCTACTGGTGTTGGCCCGAGGGGCCGATGGCGCAATATGGCAGCCTCGCTTCTGTCAGCCTGCCCCAGGGCAGCTGTGGCTACAACTGTAGCTTGCCTCCACCAGTGTGTGAATGTGAGAGTGAATGAATAGTGGAATTGTAAAGCGTTTTGGGTGCCTTGAAAAGCGCTATATAAATCCAATCCATTATTATTATTATTATTATTAAAGAAGTGGCCAGTGACTGTACAATCACCATTGTTCTTTCTTCCGGTTGCCAGTCTCTAAACTTGCACATCAAAACCACGACCAGCTCACCAGCGACGTGATCAAAAAACCTGAACAAACGCAAAAGCTTATCCTGAGATGTGCAGTCAGGCATAAAAAAAGAAATCCTTTTGAATTTGTATGGAAAACTTTATTTGATAATAAAAATAGCATTCACAGACTTCTTTTGATAGCTACATATACATTGTAATCCATCTCAAGGAAAGAAGCTGGATAAGTCCACATCTACTTGTACTTTGACTAATGTTATGTATAGCTTCATGGGTCAAATAAAGCTATGAACAATGTAGTATTTATATATGCATAGTTATATAAAAAAGATTGGCCCATATACATGTACTGCTTTTATCAACACAGAGACAGCATTATGTCTGGAGCACGTTGCGAGAAATAATGCTTGAAGAACACAGACTGCATACAAGTGCTTTATAATACAAAGGCAGGCTAACCATTGAGAGAGATTCAAACCATTAAACAGTTTCTGATTGACCACATACAGTCTTTCATTTTAAAATGTCTTTACATACCTGATCCAGAGTAAATCAACATATTTCCCCACAAATCATCAGGTCCACTTCAGAGATATAAACACAATGTCACATTCCTCACTGCTGAGGGTTTTCATAAATTTCTCTTTTGTACAAGAAAAAGGCAACATTTTATTCCTCCACAGGTTCCTTGTAGTTACATTGGAGAAAAAAAAAAAAATCTTTACAGGTGATGGCCAACACTTCTCAGATGCGCTTCTTTTTTGTTAAATACAGTACCATGGTGACAATGGTGATTAAACAATGCATTTGTTGTGGTTCTCTCCCCTCCTCCCAATATATTTTTAGTTTGTAAATGAAACATAAAACAGAGAATACACACAAAACAACAGTAAAAAGCAGCAGTCAGATTCCAGTGGCATGACAGCATGGCTCAGCATGGCAGATCAGTTGTCCCCTGTACCGGGAATCTCCATGTTACCGACACACGTAACCACATCGGCTCTGCGCCTCTGTACCCAGGAGGTGGTCTGTGCACAAACGTGCTTGTAATAAACATGAGGACAGGGCTTAAAGTTACTGTGGGATTACAGTGCATGTTCCTATATCAATTATTCTCACTCAGACCCATCAAATAAAGTGATCACACTACATTTTAATTTACACATGCATCTTGCACAGGGATAATTTACATATTTATTTACTTTTTTTGGCATATCTCAAAAATCATATTTCATGGCAGCTTCGGCTGGTATTATGGCATAATGCAGACTTGTGTAAGGTGAAATTACATTTTTCCACAACAGAGAACATTGTTGCCTGTAGCTGAAAGCGAGTCGAGCTCCTTTCCCATCGCATCAGTACACACAGTTTTTTCCTCAATCCTTCTCCAGGGGGAATCTAATAATAGCACTGCCAATTTTCACATAATTCGTTAGAGTTTTGGAAGCGTGTATTTAGGCAAAAGAGGTTACACTGCCTCAGCATGCATTTCCAAGTCCATCGTATACGTTTACCTTGGTCCTTAATAAAAGATTGAATGACTCTTACTGGAGATATGTGCCGAATCAAAAATAAATAGTGAGCAAATGCAAAAATGTCATATATTAATTATCTAATTATCATTCTAGTTTCACCATCAAATCTTAACATTTAGATTTTTGCAAAGTCCATTTTCACAGTTCTCGTGAACCACCAGTGTCTTGTGCTATAGTTTTTTTTTTTTTTTTAAGCAATTCAGGAATGGATAAAGACATCTAAAAACAAGTTGAAAACAAGCTTAGTAGTTACCACAATTGGAAGCATGTTTCATACCTCTGAGGGAACAAATATTTAGAGTCAGCAATGCCTACAAAAAAGCAATATCACTGATTTCATATGCAGGCACATACAATACCTTTACTATAGTACAACAACCTTTGTTATGCTCAAAATAACCAAAACAATGACAAAAACAGTGTGAACTGATAGGATTGTACTCCTGCTGTTTTATGAATCTCTGGATGGGATCACAAGTAGTAAAGTTAATCAAATCAAACCATTCGACCAAATAAAGCACGAGAGTTAGTATCCTTAGAAGTCCAATTCCAGTGTATGGTACATAGTTTGCACAGATAGAGAGAGTGGTGAGGGGGATCTCTGCTCTGCTCTAGATGCTGAGGTCTTTCGGGCTTTCTTTGTACAGCCTTCTCTTGGGCTCGGGGAGCTGGTTCGGGCTGCGGCCTACTGCGTTATTGTTGTGGCCGGTGTTGTTGAAGGCAGCGTTATTGTGTGCAGCGTTGTTCTTCATCATGCTGTAGTAGTCTTTTAGTCCTGGTGCGGCTGCATAGTTCAGCTCATCCCGGCTGTAGGTGCTATCAGGGGAAGAGTCCCGCTCAACTCTGTACAGTCTCTCCATTTTCCCGTTTGTCCGATGTCTCTCCTCTCTCCTCTCCGATGAAGAGTCTCGCAGAAGGTTGCCGTTCTTTGTGGCTCTGTCGTATGTGCGGCCCCTAGCTTGAGAAAAGGAATCCCCTTTGTTGTTGGTGCGCTCGGGGGTGGTAAACTCCCTGACTTGCCCAGTCATCTGTGAGTCCTTGAGGAGCCTCCGCTCATTGTACTTCCGATCGGGGGTGACTGCGAGGAACCCTCCATCATCGTAATCCCTCTCAGGTGTACGGTCGCGATGTGCTCGCTCTGCCCTGCGGTCCATTGATTTGGCCCGCCGGTGATCAGGGGACGAGGCGCGCTTTCGGGTCGGTGAGCGGTCGAGGGAGCCGCGGCGCTGCGGACGAAATCTCCCGTCCAGAGTAGAACTGCTATTTGAGAGCTCTCGCTCCCTCAGTTTCTCGGCAGCTGCAGCTTTTTTCCCCGAGTTGTCCTTCCTCAGAGTCTTTAGGAGTTTAGAGATGCCGCTCTCCGACTCAGACTTCTTGACTTTGCGGCCCCGGCTCTTCTTGTTGCCATTGCTACTGCTGTTGCTGTTGTCAGGAGACTGCTGTCTGGGGAAACTTTGACTGTGATTGTTATTCCAGGTGTGATGATGATGGGGTTTAAATTGCCAGCCTTGGTAGTCCATCTGATTTGACCCATCCCTGTCCCTGTTCCTGTCCATGTCTCGGCCACGCACAGCCTCCTCCTGGCGTGATGGTTTGTGAAGGTCTGGTGGATAACTGGACTCCAATGAGGTGTGATATCGGCTTTTGGGTGGCAGCGTTCTCACTTCCGGAGTGTTTTGTGCCCCGGGTGCGGAAGGGTGCCCGTCATTGCTGCCGTCTGCAGGAGGGGAGAAAGAACGGGAAATATCTTTTCAACAAGTATCGGAATGAAACTTTAAAAAAAAGAAAAATCAAAAACGTGAAATTAATTGCGATCAGCAGACATGATTTTCCTTGTTGGCTGATTTGAGCTCTTGCATTGACATGATACAAACAAACAAAAACAATCAATGCAGATACTGATGGAAATCATGCATACTGGTATACTTCCATTTGCTGCATTTATTCTTAGAATAAATCCGGCTAATGTAAGCTGATGTGTAACACTTTTTTTTAACACATCTGCACACAAAAAATGCATTGAAGTTATACATGATTTCAATATGGTTTCGCTATAAGGGCTGCAGGTTAAAACACAAGGTGACTTCGGCAACAACAGCAGGTGCAACACATCAGCAAGTGTAGGGCAGGGGGTTATCGATAACACAGCAGGCACCTAGGAAATCATTCAAAATAAAACGATGAGTTTAATGTACATTAATTGGAAGAACAAAGCAAAAAAAACAAACAAAAAAAACTGTTTGGCTGAAAGTCTGCCAACCCCCCCAAAACAGACAGGTTGCAGGTGGCAGCAGCGTGTGATGACGAGTTGAATTAAATTAGTCCCATTAATAAATGTCTGGTCTGAAGCTGGCACATGGGTAGGGATATCATATGCATACAGAAGTTGAATAACATGGGTTAAATGAGGCTGACAAAGCTTGTATACAACGTCAACAGGTCTGCACGCCAACACGCACACACAGTGGGATGCAGGGTGGTATGGGCTGAAAGAAGGGGTGAATATAACTGAAAGGAAAACGGTGACAGGGAGAGTGGAGTGGGACAGACTTTTGGCTACAAACCGTTGTCTGATTTTGGCCCATTAGGTAGAAACAGGGCTCTCCCATCTTGTCATTTCTCATTGTACCAACAGCGAGATGAGGAGCCATCATCGCTGGAGAGAGGAGGAAGAGCCCAGCAACGAGAGACAATCAGAAAGAGAAAGGAGGAGGAGCAGAGAGGAGAAAACAAATAAAACAGACAAGAGGCTGTTTTACAGTACATCTTAATAAGAGAGAGGAAGTTATTTTTTTGTCAAAGACAAAAGAATATTGACAAACTCTTTATAAAGCATCAAAAGAAAACAATCTGAGGGTAAAAGAAAGTGTCAGAAAATTAAAATCCCAGTTGAACCAGCAAATAACAGTAGATTGACAATAAGAAAAATAATCCTACACAGGAAATCTGTGCAATATAAGATCAAATATATATTTGAAAGATCAGTTTTGTGGATAAATAATAAATGACAGGTTGTTACATATTAATCACGCTTTGAACGTGTCTTCCTGTTAAACATTTATCAGTTAGGTTAGCAATGCAGCTGAAGATCATTTTAAAGGAATATAAAGTTTTTCTGGTGCACTACAGAGATAAGAAACTTTAGCCTGCGGTTCAGCAGTGACAGTGATGAGTTTCAGCGCCACACCATAATGCATTTACCTACCGTATTCAGGTACAGATCCATCTCCCCGTTTGAGGACGAGCCGTGCCCTCCGACCACCATTCTTGATCAGTTCGATGGCACGTGAGTGCTTCATGTTCTTTGTGCTCTCACCATTAATCTCCAAAATCTCATCTCCTACCTGAAAACAGAGAGGCCATGTTACTGTGGCAACTGGCTAAAGGTAGGGCTTCATCGACACTGCGCAAAAAAAGAAATTTAGTACATGAAAATGTATTTTGACATAGAATCAAAATAAAAGAACCCAGATTCTTACCCTCATCTTGCCATTTCTTACAGCAGCCCCGTCCTCTGCTAGTCTTAACACATATAGGTCCATGTTGTACTCCCGGCCGCCTCTCAAGCTAAAGCCAAAACCTTTACTGTCTCGCTCGAGGTCCACAGAGTAGAACTCTGCATCCTAAAAGATAGAAAAGGGTTGACAAAGAGAAAGTCACAGAGACACCAGAGTGACTAATCCATAGTTCAAAGAGTCGAAAGGTGATTTCAAACTTAAGGGCTAATCAAGCCCTGTCCCAGAAAAAACTCAAAGTGTCAATGGCAGTGCAATACCTTCAAATGCATGAATAATTAATGATGCATGAGCCTGTGAGCTGGGTACAGATCACTGAGGGAAGGGCACCGCAAGGGCTGGACCCAAAACTTTTTATGGAATCTTCCAGCACATGGAAGAATATGGTAGTGTGCGTATGGAGGGGGGGGGGGGTGTGGGTGTGTATCTGTATGTAATAAGGATTATTTGAATATTTGGCACAAAAATATTTATACCATCCACATGTGGTACATATTCCCCCCCATGTTTACTTGCGCTTTTCCTCCTCCCTCTTCTGGCCTGAAATGGAATATTGCAGCACATGCTGGCATGTTACTGCCATCTATTGATCAGAAAATAGCGTGGTACCACTGCCTGCTTTTTGTAATGCATCACACATGTGTAGGGGCTCTTCTCATTTTCTTCCTCATTTTCCTTAAAACCACTATCCACTAATTTTACAGGATGACCTACTTTTCAGCTGACAAGTAGTGGAAATACATTAAGGTGACATTCCACAGAGGAGTGGAAGATTCTGTTGCGGCCATATTGATCCTTTTATTTCCCTTTGATAATAACTGTAGCATATCTTACTGCATGTTACTGATAGATTGAAGTAAAATGGTGATGACCATTAACTATGGATGAAAAATCTATTCTTACCTGTGTGGTCAGAGATTGTGTGGGAGGAGGAGGTGGAGCTCCTTTTGACTTTGGGTTATTCCTTAGGTTATAAAAAAAACAACAACAACCTGTTAATACATGTAATGCATAGATATTGTGCTATATTTATGGCTACATCATTCGCCACAACAGTGAAACCACTGTCAGGTGAAGTGAAACATTATCTCATTACAGTGCAATATTCTGCCACCTACATACTGTTACTGCACGCGTGACCCAGTAGATAACTTTCTCTTTACTCAGCGTCTAGGCCCTCTTAAGTCTAATTTTTGCTTCTTTTTTTTCTTTGTTTGCTTTGAATTTCATGATTTGGTTGTGCAAATAGTTGGAACAACTATTTGCCCTGAGATTGGCTCTCGTTCACAGTCTGCCTTTTGTCCCGTGTCTCTGGCAACCAGGGCCCGAGTCTGAATCTGTCAGAGGTTTCTTCCTGTTAAAAGGTTGTTTTGTTTTTTCCTTCCCACTATCACCAAGTGCTTGCTGTTTGATTGTTGGAGTTTCTCGCTAATATTTTAGGGTCTTTGCCTTAAGGCGACTGTTGTTGTGATTTGGTGCTGTATAAATAAATTAAAATTGAATCAGTAATGAGTTGTTTGCAAAAGTCCGCTTTGTGACGATGTCATTTTTGCAGTTTAATTGCCACTGTGCAGAAACTACGTCAATCTTTGTGGAAGAACTTCTATTTTTTAGCCCCAAATCTACAAGGCTCTGGCTTGACTGTGAATGTAAGTAGTTAATGTGAATTTCTCTGTAATCAGAGCTGCAACAGATGGCAACAGATTTTAAATCTTCAATGATTTATCACAGCTAACTGCTGTATTATCACAAAAGGATCGCTTGTAATTGCCAACTTAACTCCTTTTAACTGCAAACCAGTAGCAGAGTGAGACACTGACTTGTCTTAGTATTGCTGTCTTTATGCTCCTAAGTCTGAAGACAGCAAGTAGTTGCAGGCCCAGTCTTTCAATCAACCATTTAAACAAAGCAAGATCACATTTTGCGCATGTTTACATAAACTTTGGACATGCCACAATCTCCATCCGCTTTTCTTTAGTTTAACAGTAACATTATAATGCTGTTTTGGTGACATAAGACAAGTCTGATTGGTGTGCACTCTTTAAAGATGATTTTTATTCGTGGAAATTAAAAAACAAAACAAAACAAAAAAAAACACACATCGTCACCTACCGGGAGTCTGCAGACTGAGGTGTGTGTGTGGTGGTGATAGTGGCGATCTTCTCAGCGTTTGTCAGCAGAGAAGCATTGGAAGATTCTGAAAAGAGAAAATACAATAAAGAGATAAACAATATAAAACAAAGTGACTAATTTTGTTAAATGCATTTGCCTGTAGCTGCGTTTTAAAAAGATACTCTGGAGAACAAAATGTTAGTCTACAAGAGTCCCCTGAACCACCCACAGGCAGTTCTATTCAACCTGATGCTAACTGCCTGTGATGCTGTCATTTGCCATTTACTCATGTACAACACTGGCCCCACTGCACGAAAGAAAAATAGCATTAAAGGAAAAGAAAAAAAAAAGACATGTATCATTTTGATTTAGCCGTTGTTCCAGGAGGGCAAAAAAAATTAATAAGAGCAAGAATGACTGTCTTTCCTTGCTTTTCTGTTGTATCACAAACAAGCAGCACATGTATAAGTTACCCGCGCCACTGATAGGAGTACAGCTCTGTCTGCAAGAACATCAGCCTGACTCATTTGTCTTAGACTCCTTACTCACTCATGCCTACTTCCCTCATTACTTAAAGAAATACGACTTCCTTGCAGCCACCTCTCACTTTCTCTGAGGCACAGGGCTTTCTGAAGCCACACTACCAAACTTTGCCTTGTGATTCTTCATGCACAAGCCTGTGAGTTGCTGAACATGTGTGCGTGGGAGTTTGTTCCCACCTCTGTCACCTCCCATCTTCATTAAGCTTCATTTTATGTCTCTACGGAGTATGTAGCTGCGTGGCTCTTTGCGATGTCTGCATGAGCTGACCAATGGCTCAGTCTTTAACGTGCACTTTGTGTCAGCGCTTGACATATTTTTGCCAAAACGTGGAGCTTTGAGTCACAAACTGCTTGTGCTGCAATATTGTGCAGTTCCGTTTCTTTTTCTAGGCTAAGCTGAAGAGCTTAACACCATCAGGAAGCACTTGATTAAATGTGAGCAGTGTTTTTAATCCGTTAAAAGTGACATCAAATCCAGAAAATAAAATAAACCAGAAACTCGGGGGGTGGAACGAAACTCGGGAAGCGTTATGGCAGTTTCTGGGGGCAACTTCACCTTACTCCTACTCAGTGACTCACTTTCAGGAGACGAGGGTTCACACCCTCGTGAAAAGTGCTCTCGCCTGTGAACAGAGTCAGTGCCCTTTGCTTCCCACCACAACCATGAATAAGTCACATCACACTGCATTATGAAACAGCCATCGTGAGGCTGGAAGCCATCGCACGCCTTACCATCACCGGGGATGATCCTGAGCGAGACTGTGTTCCCGGCTTCCTTGATCAGGTTGACGATGTCAGAGTGCGACTTGTTGGTGATGGAGCAGCCGTTAACGGCCAGTATTCGGTCCCCGACTTTCAGCTTCCCGCAGCGGTCCGCCGGGCTGCCCTCAATGATGCGTCCTATTTTGTGGGGCATGGCCACACAAGCATTTCCAGCTTTTGTGTTAATAAACATGTTTGTTTTGTGTGTACATTTTGCACGTCATGATGATTTGTTCGATTGTGTTGATTGGTTGTATTGATTTATAGTTTGGAAAAAAAAGAAGAGGGAAAGAAAACAGGGAGAAAGAACGAAGAAAGGTTAATTATGCAAATCATTGTGTCCCAGTTCACCCACAGAAAACCAATAAAGCTGAGGACCTGTTGAAAAATACATATGCACTGTAAAGTATGAGGAGAACAATCTAATTTACAGGCTCTTTGGGACAATGCAGGCGATGTGGTAATCAATGAGCAGTGGAGCACCACTCCTGTTAGATAATCAACTAAGTGAGCTTGACCAGCTCCGAAATCAGATGAATTTGAATATGTAGATGTTCAGAGTATACTGCAGTTGGAGTTTAGTCAGTGCAAATGCTGCAAGAAATACTTGCAGCAGCAGATTGACAGTTTTCAACACTGCACGTCTCGTTTACACAGAAGCTTTGAACAGACTCAGGGGATCTCCAGCTCTTCTCACCCTCCCTCCATGTTTTTCCCTTTATCTCCGCTGTTCACGACACTTTTCCCTCCAGTATTTTTTGCGGCATCCATATTTATTACATCACCTTAGTTTACCCTTCTTGTGTCTCGATTAAAAAAAAAAAATGCAGTTGTATTCTGTCAGTCTATCTAAAAAATGAAATATGGGACAGGGTGTGTCAAGGATTTAATACCCAATCTGTTAAGCACAACACTAACCCCCAGGTCATGGGGGTAGGAAATGGGGGGGGGCGCGCGCAAATGGACTCGTGCAAAGTGATTTATGCATCACTGATGTATGGGAGACAGAATCAACTGAAATTGCTCTATTTTCTCCACTAGGGCTTTTAAAAAAAACCCATCTAGCCTCCTGGAAGAATCCTTGCAGCAATGTCATGCCATGTTTTTATTTTTGTTTGGCCTTTTTTTTAGTAATACACATTCCTCTTTCAGATTTCAGCTCGTGTCCCACATGGTTAGAATCCATTAGAGCAGTGAGTGCAGGATGCTACAGCGTGATCCTAGATCAGTGAGTGAAAGCACAAAGTCAATTCATCTCATTCTCCCGAGAGGAATAGTGACAGAGCAGAGAAGGGGGGGAGCCCAGCGAGGAAGCAGCAAAAACAGGCACCTCAAAAGTAGAAGTAGTCTAGACGTGGTTGTTGACTAGCACCGTCACAGGTGTCATTATAAATAACTCATTAATTCTTGCATCGCATTTTGCAGAGCGACGCCCTCAGCCTGTGGGATCTATGAAATATTCCCCAGGCACTCAGCATGGGTAACGCGTCATCCATTCTTGTGTTACGCCTATGACAGACCACAGTACATCATCATAATGGCTACTACACAGGGGACCTTGCTATGACATTCATGTTTGAAATTCATCACTCAGAGGTTAATACCAAATTTGTTCAAGGACGTCTACAATTCCTCATCAGTGCCTGCCTCACGTTAATACGTGTGATTCTGCTTTTTTGCTGCGATACATAAATGGTACGGACAGCTATGGACTGTGCCGAGTATATTTCAATTACATGCTGAATGAATTGGTGAGGGCACCTCCGAGGCATCAATGTGGCGTTTGTGATAAAGCTGCAGCCGGTTCGATCCTGAGAGAGTGCACTCGCACACGAAGGGTTCCTTTATCCTTAAGCTTATGAGAGTCTGTGACCTCAGTCTGTGGCATTAAGCACCCTCCTGTTAAACACCTCCCCCCTGCTGCGTATAAGCAGGGGAAACTCAGTGGTAAATATAAAAAAAATATGTTAATTCTCTAAGCGTCAATCATTTAACTTTGTAGTGCTTTCATACTATGTATGGATGTGTTTTGCTGGAAGCAGTTTCATGTACCACCTGTCAGTTTCTTTGGGATGAACTGTTTTGGCTTTAGTTGTAATAAAGAAAAAAAAAACAAAACACACACACACACACTCTAGAACGTACTAAGGTTGATGTATTTTGTTCTTGCCCTCAAAATGCAGTAATTCTGGGTATACACTGTTTTTGTCTCTGAAGCTGGTGATCAGAGGATAATCTATAAACTAAATTGAGCACAAGATGCTGTTTGGTGCTTTTTTTTAATTAAAGAAGTTTCCATTTATTCCGTCATTTACTCATTATAATCATTTCAGTACATTCTTAATAGTCACTGGCATACACACGTGTGCGTTTGTATATGATCATGACCGGAATTTTGCTTATTTTTGAATTTTTTGCCCATCCTGCTCACAGCCAGAAAGTGAATTAATGACAGAGACATAAGGATAGAAGAAGATGAAAACATCACTTGCACCAATTCAAATTACAAATGCCCGAACAATCAAACTGTTAAATCTGATTAATGTCTAAATTGAACTGTCTGTAGCTTTGAAGACAGAGCCGGGCTATAGTAAACAAAATAATTTCTCTTGTCAGACTGAATTGAAGTCGCTGTCAATCTCAACTAGCTGCAGCTCAGTCTGCCTCGCTTACCAAAGGTGGTTCCAGCATCGGGCCTGGAAACTGATGACACGATGACAAAACCGAATCCTTCGTTCTCTCCTCGTTGGATCTCCACATCGTACGGTTGCAGGGAGGCCGGCACTACTGCGCTACCGCTGCCTCCTCCGCCACCACTGCCGATGCCGCTGGTAGATCCACTTCCAGAACTGACAGTGTTGAGTGAGTTCTGGCTCCCCTGGGGGGTCCGCTTGCCCTCTGTTAGACTCGGTGCCTGGGTGCTGCTGTGGTGGGAGGATGCTGGTGATGGAGGGACGTCACCTTCTCCTTTTGAAACTTGGGATGAGGGGAGTGAGAACAGACTACATTTCAAGCAAGAAGCGTGTGATATATTTGCATAAAATACATGTGACTGTGCGTGAGTCGTGCATGAATGCACACGCTTAAGTTTTATCTAAAACTTTCCTCACCTCCATATCCAGGGCTCTTGCGTCTGACAGTGAGGTTGACATGACCCTGTTTGGCGGCCTGCTGCATCAGCTGCACCACCAGCTGGTGAGACTTGCCCACTACTGCTGTGCCGTCCACACAGATGAGCTCATCGCCCGACCGCAGGCGACCATCCTCATCTGCTGCCCCGTACTTTACTATATGCCCTATGTAGATCTGCCAAAGGGAAAGCACATCAAATGCATGATGTAAATGTATTGCTACAGATTAATTGCATTAGCTTAAAAAACAAAAGATCATTCAAGGCACACCGCACTGAATCTGTGTGATTTATACAGCAGCTTTTCAAAGTTTCCCGTTTCAGTACTTCAAAGTATTTGTGGCTGACACAGGAAAAACCAAAAAGGCCGGTGCAGCCTATTGGGGCGGTGGAGAAACTAGTGTGCTCTAGGCATTGTGTGGGAGAGTACACAGGTCTGCCAGAAACAAGTGCACAAATACCATGCAGCATGTTTGGCACAAACAACAAGTACTAACTCCTGTGGGGCAGACCTGAAACCTGCTGCCATTTTATTTCACTATCTGCCATCCATTCGTCTTCTCGAAACCTTCTTTAAGACAAATATATGGCACACAACCAGAAGGAATGGTGGATAAGGCCTTTGCTGTTCTTAACAAGTTATCTATACAAATCTCCAGAGAGCAACAGCTCCAGTTAAAGAGAGAGAGTGATGCATTAGATCTTTCTGCTATTTGGTTTAAAGGCAGACTGAAAGAGGCACGGGAAATGTAAAACACAGCGGAAACTAATGAAGCAAAGAAACTGTTAGGGAACAGAGCATTTAGTAATGGTTGTTGTGGATGGATGTATATGTAAACATAGTATTCTCATTCACAAGCAATTATAATAAACTGATGAGACTTAAAGTGAAGGAAGACTTACAGGCTCCCCAGGCTCATTTCCTCCCAATATGCGAAAGCCAAAGCCTGTATCCTTCCGCCAAAGGAAAATGTCCTGCTCCTGGCAATCTGGCACTGAAACACAAGAGAAACAGTGAGGACTCCATGGACATCAACAACCAAACCCAAACCAAAGATTTGCAGGTTCTGCTCAATTTTTTCTTCTAGAATCTATTTAGACTGATCACTGGATCCTTTTTTCTCTGATCAAATAGTTCTGGCTCCTGTGTTTGCTTGATTATGGCAAATCTGCTGATCAATAAGGCATTTGCATTTCTAACAGTGTCAGAATGAGAGCAGGCTGGATCAACAGCTGCTTGCTCCTGCCTCGTGCTCCTGTTCAGAGCTCAAACTAGGCTGCCAGGTCTCGGGCTGTCACCTCATCACACTAGAAATCTAGAACTCAACGCAGAGCCCTATTATTAGCTCTCATTTACAGTCAAGTCTTTCTTGCATGCATTAATTTATAGCATCTGCCTCCCATGCACTATTTCTGTACACACACACACACCTCCCCCTCACATTTGCATGCACGGACATGGCAGACTGTGGAGGAGGACACAGGCAATTTGGTGTCAGTCTGTTCAACCCACAGGGCCAGTATGTACAGAAGGCACAGGCCATTTCTTCCTGCTCTGCCTGCTGCCTACACGGCTGCCACGCAAGGCCAGTAGTGAACCCATTAGTTTCAGCTTTCTAGGTCCCTTGATAAATTGCCTGGTGTGAATTAAACTGCAGCTGTTGGACTTGTAATTAACCCTCTGCTGACCCGCAACTATAGAGTAGTGATCAAAGCTCGCTGTAACTAACAGTGCTGCTTTGTGACGCTTCATCATGCAACAGGTAACCTGAATTCCCAAAAGCTCACCTTTCAGCCACACTGCTCTGCCACTGAAACTGTGCTCTTCTGGTGAATGCATGAATGCACCTACTCAAAAATTCAAGTTGGGTTCACTCTTATGTGGCAGCATGCACATGAATAAACATGGAAAGAGACAGAATCTGGGCCTCTTTTTCATTCGGCGTCTCCCTCTTGTTTCATTGTGTCGCCTCTCCTCCCCCACTCAATGGAAAAAAGGCTAGAGCTCCTTCAGGGGTTATCAAACAGATATACCAATCAGCTACAGCTTAAAGCAGACCTCTCCAGGCCCAGTTAATATTTAATCAGCAGCAGTCCTAGATTCTACAGGCAGCCATGATTGTTAATGCACTGCAATACACAGGATGGGGGCAGCTTGCACATCTGGCTGGGAACAGTCACAAATGTGTGACAAGCTAATGCAACAGACTTGCCAGAGACATCACTCTCTCTATTACAATGCAATCGCTGGCAATACTGAGGTTTATTTCACAGCCCATACAAATCCATCCTCCTCTTAAGTATCACCAGTGGTCCAAGTACAGGAGGCGTGAACGATGTAATTCAGCCAGAACGGGCGAGTGGAGTGCTTCTTTTTGAGGATATCACACACTCCTCTATTTCTTGCAGACTCTTCCATTAGAAACACATAAGTGGTTTGACACCCTTACAGTGTTACCCAATGAATTATGCAAGAGTGGGCCGTGACTGCAAATGATATTGTGGAATTTTATGTGGAGACTGCCCACTTTCTAGTGTTCCAGTTTTGAATTTTCTGTTTTCCCTTCAGTAAACATGGGACAACACATAACTGTTTGCCTACTAAATACATAAATACTTTCTTTTATAAACTTTAGGGAAAGACGATGGTAGTTGCACATCATCCTTTGGAAAACCAAACCGGGTGTGTGCGACTGACATGCACAAGCGCCACAGCAGCACTCGTCAGCTGCTTTTGTGCGTTTTCAAGGACGCTTCTCTCTTGGAGGCACCTTTTGTCACAGGATCAGCTGTGACTGGTAAGCACACAATTGTTGAGCAAACAAACTAAAGGCATTAATGGACACAAATGTGCAGGTAAATGCATTTGCTGATCTACTTTAAACAATCGGAACCTTTTCCAGGGCGTTTTTTGCTTCATATGGGTCAGCGTAGTGGGAATCTTTTCTCCTACCTACATGTCTAATCCACTAATCACACAGTAGAGCTTTTTACATACCACTAAACTGACATTGCTTACTTACCTTCAATTAAATAATGTTAAATATCATAGCATAGAATTTATAGAATAGAAGCCCGCACACAAAGGAAGGAAACATTAAAAAAAATATGTGGTGAAAAGCCTCAGATCTTTAAGGAGATTATTTTTTCCTTTTCCTTTTCATCTTGAATCTAAGCCATCGCATCTATACTGACAGGCTGTACTCATTCTTACAGACGGTAAAAAAAGAATAAAGAATAAGTCCTCCTGAATTTTTAAACTCTAAAGTCTGCAAAATTTTCATATTCTTCAAGAAATTAAAAATTTAAAAAAAATACTCACGTCGACTCTCATACATGCTCCTGGACTGTGCCCAGATCTTAAAGGGGTCTGGCTTCTTCTGGAGGGTGAGGGTGCCATCTGCGGGATCCTGAGGGGGCAGACCTGGCAGGGGCTGGGTGGGGGCAGCAGGAGTGGGAACCACCGCCTCACTGGGCATGACAGAGGGTGGGTGGCTGGGAGAATCAGTGTGGGTGCTGCGATGACTGCACACACTGTGCTGGGAGCTGCTCTGGCTATCTTTTCTTTCTAGCTGGTGCTGGGTGGACAGAACAGAGAGAGAGAGAGAGGGAGAGAGAGAGAGATTGAGGTGTGTGTGTGTGTATATAAGCGATGGGGGCGGATATAAACATACATGCAGAAGACGGAGATAGAGGGCAGAGAGATGAGAAGAAAGAAAGAGCAGAAAGTGAGTCAGTGTTAAGGGTGACATAGAGGACAAACAAGACTACTTAGATATAGAGTTGATGGAGGACAAAAAGAGAGAAGTATCCAAGGTCATCTTTTTTAGATGCAGCAGAACATCTCCCACTTTGACAAAAAAAAAAGAAAAAAATCTCGCCTTGGTTTCCATGGTTGCGAGACAAAGACAGACAGAAATATGAGGGAATTTTAATGAACAAAGATATTGCCTTTTATAAACCCTGTGATTCTTTGTTCATTGCAGAAGGTTCTCTGCATGAAAACAGAATCAAGGTTGGTCTGAGTTGAAACAGGAATGTGTGCCATCTGGTTTGAAAGCAAACTAAAGTCTCAGCTGTAGAGAAAATAACCCACTGAAATTGGTGTACAGAGTCGGTCGTTTTAACTGAATTTTTTTGGTTTTTTGTTTACTTCACGGTCAAAATCGCATGACAAAATAAAATGAAACACAGTCATAGTTAATTCTATCTGTTTAAGCATCAATGAAAATAACACCCATAGCACTGAATGCTTGGTTTGAGATAAATAGAACTACGTTTGTATGGTCTAATAATGCAGTTCTATACCTCGACCTTTTGTTCTGTTCCTGTAAACAGAAAACGTGCATAGATGTTATCATGTTATTATTTGCTGATGTTCTTTTTTTAACAGGTTATAACTTTAAAAATGTTTCTACGGATAAAATTACTAATAATAATTCTAATACTGAAAAAGCACAAATGTGACTACTTAATCACTTTTTCTGATATGAATAATAAAAAATGAAAAGATATAGAAGTCTCCCAGTCTCTCACTTATCACACTATATGAGATGAAGGGTCAAATTCCAGTAATGCACTGCATTACAGCCATGTGAAATTGACTTCTTGTTTGATCACTGCAGACTTGCTTAATGAGTTGAGACAGCACGGTCTCTCTTGCATATGGAAGTTTACTGTGAGCATCTATTTAGATGCTGAACTGGAGGCAAAGCGGTTGTTCTGGGCTGACATGAAGTCGCATGCAGCGTGACATTTCACTGACATAACACAGAGGGAGGGAAAACTGGCTTTTCCTCAGTGGAAAGCTAATCCAAAGTGACAGTCAGGCTAGGCCACTATTGGTCCCACTCAACCCCCTTACAGTGCCCACCCCCTCCTCCATCCGCCACACCATGTGATCTGAGTAGGTGACACCCACAGCTCTGACGAATGCCATTTTGAAACTAATCCTAATCCCAATATCCAGCAAGCTGAGGTGAGGCTTTTAATGTTGATGAAGAGAAACTGGTGCAAGGTTGCAAGGATTTCTGCTTCTCAAGTGGGAGGAATTGAACCTGCAACTCATCTTGGTGGCTCTCAGGGGGTAAAACAGGGTGACAGTAATTTGAGATGTACTTATTTGTTATCAGGCTGATGAGTTGTAAAAACAAAGAAACATTTGCTTTTTGGACTCTTGAATACCTGCACTGGCCCACAAAAGACCCCTCACATTGCCCATCCAGTTTTTCTAGTCTCTTTTCTCTTATCAATAACATCTACAAGATACATTACAATCTATCAAAGTCCCCCATCCAGCTTCTCCAGCTCCCTAATTGTTTGATTCCAGTGCACTTTGGAGACATTGTCCCGTTTTCCCTCAGAGTTAGCCTCAGTGCTCCCTTTTTTATCTGTGGGCCATCACAGGCATTCACTGCTGTGGGCCAATCCATTTTTCTCGTTCTCCTCCTTTTTCCCTATCTTTTCTTCATGCTTCTTTCTCCCATTCTCCCTCGTCTGAGGCTGTGTGCCCTCCCCAACAGCTGGTCAATGTTACACTGCTCTGCCTAGGCTATGCTTAATCAGTCACAGGATGGCAGCATGGCAGGAGCGGAGGGATGTAAGGAGAAAGCGAGACAAAAAAAACAGATGACAAAAAAGAGGCAAAAAAAGCAGAAAAAAAAAACCCTGAGAGAAGGATGTAGGGAGAGCCAAAGTGTCAGACTGGGAACGAAGTAAAGAGATATGATGGCAGTGGGAACAATGGGAAGAATTTCTGAAACTGTACAAGCGGGAGTTAGCTATCATATGTCTGTCTTTTGTTCTTTAAATAGCACTCTTTTCACTCAGTGGAAAGCGCAAGGAAATGTACAAACACGAAAGAGTTCATAGTACTCACCACCAGCTTTGGACTCCTCTTGGCTGGCACCACTCCTGCAAAACATCGGCAGAGAGACAGAGAGAGCATTAATGACCTGCGGTGCTCTCGCCTTGTCCCCTCTTATTAAAAACTCCCCAGGACAAACGGATGAACCCTTGATTCCTGCTGCAGAGCAGAGCGCAACTGGCCCGGTTCTGTCTCCTCTTCCTCCTCCTCTCTGTTGCTTTCTCTCTGAGCAACACACTGCGCTAGGCTGCTCGCTAATCTAAGTGATCTCCGCCCCCCTACGCTCCACTCCGCGCTCTCACCCGTGCTGCTAGAAGAAGAGCTACTGATCTATCCGCATTAGACGGGCTGACCGCCTGCCGCAGCCTTGTACTGCTGGTACAAGCTACAGGTCCTCATAAGCAGCCACAGTCCTGCCTCCACAGCAGCCGTCTCCGGCACGAGAGTAATGGCTCAGCAGTTTACGAATCATGTCAAAGGAAAGCCCGAGTTTCTGCCTTACTATGCACATCCTCTTTGTAACTACAGAGCTGTTTCCTCTCTTCTCAACTCCACTGTTTAACTCAGTGCTTACAATGAGAAGGTTTCCCTCTCTGCCCTTCTTCTTGTTCCCTCCCCCGTCTCTTCATATGTGCACCATGACTTGTTGTGCCTCTATCCCTCTCTCTCCCTCTCTCATATATGTGCCAGTTAATACTGTGTTAAGAATCACCAAGACGATCAATCTCATTTGTGCTAATGAAATATTAATACATGGAGCCAGCTGTCAGGAGAGATGTTTCACAGCAGACTAATATACATTCCCCACATAATAGCCTTTCCCCACATCCATCACAATCAAACAGTTATTCAGTGGGTATGCTCCTTTACCTCTAAGACCAACCTATCGGCTCAGACTCCACCTGACTGCTTTGACCTACACACAGCTTGTGAATCGCTTTCCAAGAACGCTATTTTCCTGTCTTAAATCACCTTTGCCCGTCTCTTACTACGGCACAGCGCGCTGAGACAAAAATAGACAAATGAATGCATGAACGACGTGAGGCAGGATCGGGACAAGGAGTTGCCGTTGCCACGGCAATCAAGTAGTTCTGTATACAACGATGGCAGTCCGTTTTGTTAAGCATAAGAATTGAGCAGCAGTGCAACATATCTATATTAATTGCAGACCTTTGATCTGTTGCAGACAACTCCTCCATCTATGCTGTCAAGACCAATACAAATATAAAGCAGCTAACGGACCGGCACATGCAGGGATTATTAATGGAAACTTCCAGTGACATTAAAACACGCAACAACATGCAAGCATCCATCTTAGGCTCTTTCTGCTGCATTGGCAAAAAAATCATTAAATGTTAAAACTCTGTTGCTGCAAAGCCCCTCTCTCTACGTGATTCATAATTTATCCCTATTTTCTCTCTCCCTCTCTCTCATATTATAGGGGGGCAGCTACTGGAGCAAGTAGAACATCTCACAACTGCTGACGTGCAGAGGGATGCTTGTTGTTTTTTTTTTCTTGAGCGAGAGAGAGCGTCAGAGTGAATGTGTGGGTGTGTCTAGCCCAGGATGGACATACACAACAAGGTCAGATGTCAATAATAATGGTTTCTTTTTACAGCACTGTGGAGCCAGTGTGGAAGGTTAGTGAAGATCCTTAACTTTTAAACAACCTCTGAAAATCTCCAAGCGGGCAACAACGTCACCATAATCAGCATTAAGGGTATAGAAATTGAACTCAACTATGGCCATACGGTTGATAAATTTGAGCACGCAACTAAAGGGGAATAGAAATTAGAGGAACAAACTCATATTGACCCCTGCTCTAAATTCATCCACCGAAGCGTGTGCCAGCTAGAACGGTAGCTTTGCATCTTCATGCGTGATGCAGTCTTTAAATCTGCTTAACTTAATCTAGCATTGTGATGTTGATGTGTTGTATGCATGGAAGTCAAAGTCGATTGGATCTGTTCGAATGTAACATTTATGAGCAGTCGAGGCTCAGCGAAATAAGTATGCGGATTGCATGTTTGTGCACACACGTAGCTCACAAGAAGCATTAATAAATACGTAGAGCGATACACGCTATATGTGATGACGGCACGCATTCAAGAAGGTGAGCGGTTATTTATGCAGAGAACACACACACAACATTTACATTAGGCACCTGTTCCATAATCCTGTTGTATTCCGGTAAAGCCATGCTCAATATTCCATAAATAAACGTAGTTCTCTTTAAAAGACTGATGATGATGATGATTAAGAACAAAAGGCCAACTTAAAAGGTAAGCATTTATTAATACTGAGACGACCTTTAGACGGAAAGACTAAAATAGCATCCATTAGCATTCATATGGGAAAGGATGTAAACAATCTAGAAGTGGCTTTGAGTATCAGTGTCTAGAAGGCAGATTCCTCTCCTTTTACAGTAGAGAAGTATGCTTGTGACATCGCACAGCATTACAGATAAAGACGTTAATGGCTTAAT